TGGTCAATTTATACGATATATATATATATATATATATATATATATATATATATACATATATACGTATGCATCTCCCGTGGTGTAAAGTTATGCTCTACCTACTCCTTTCAGATGTATGCACGGCTTCGTCAACGAATCCTGGAACGTCAGTGCACGGAGCTGTTACACGATATGGCTGGTAAACCTGATGCTCCGCAAGGTGCCACTGAACAGGGTTTTGCGATTGAGGTAAATTTGTGCACAATCATTCCTTTATTTGTGAAGCTCAGTTTTAAACAAATAATTATTTGTCCTCAAAAAAACGATGTATGTTCAACTTCGTCTACCTCCTTTTGATGACCTTAAATTAAGGTAATGCTTATCATTATGCTAGCATTTCCCCACTATATGATATCAATGAGCATGACCGTATATATATAGTCAGTTGCCTGATGATCAAGTGAAGGGTGCGTGCGTTCTACCTGTGAGGTCCCGGCTTTGATCCTCAGTGGAGTAAATGAATTCGCCCAACCAAATAGCCGTACAGTGCTTTTTTTGTCTTCTCTGTTTCCATTTTATTTGCTCTGTACACGACGGAATTGTCATCGTTTGAGAATCTATACTACATGTGCGGTAAATCCGCTCTCGACAGGGACGTTTTTTCACGTTGCAAGAGATCAGCTACCGCCTCAAAGGTTTTTCTAGTGAACGATTACCTATTAACTAAAATCCTTGTTAGCAGCTGCCGCTTCGGCCCAGACAAAATCAAGTGGAAATCAACAGATGACTTGAACCGTGCAGAAGTACACGGAGAGGTTAGGTAAAGTAGATGTCTGTTGTTTTCCGGGTTCGGGTCTAACCAACTCCGTCACTTTTTGGTTGGAGACATTGAAAGACATGGAAGCGAACTGATAGCACTGACATTCTTGTTATTGCTTATCAGGTCAGAATGCTTGAAAAGGTGTGTATGCACACTTAGGTTGTGTATTCAGTGTGTTTACTTTCATTCCCTCTCCCTCAAAATATATTCACCTCTCAAGTCTACGCATTCTCGCTTTGAGTAGATCTTGAGCATGACAGCGCAGTTCTTTTGCTATTTTGCTGCACGCAAACGGTGATTTCGACTACGGCTCATTTTTAGTCAACCAGCACTGCTGTTAGATAATTAGACACCGGGTACACAAATCGTGAAGTGTATTGTGTTGAAATTATGTTTTCTGTAGCGAGATATTGGGCATGTAAAAATTGATGTTTGTCCATTTGTTGTGCTCAACGTGTTACATTCTTCCTCTCTTGGCTTAGCTATTTACCCTGGTCCATAATGTGCTCCGCTCGTTCCGTGACGCGCGGTGCAAGATCGGGCGGATTGTAAACGACGAAGATTTGTACTATCTGACAAAAAAGGTAAGTGTTTATCACATGCAAATGCGTCTTTACGTTTGCTCTCTTTTTTAGGTTTTTAATTTTACCTAACACGTTTTCACCCTTCGGGCTTGGTGCCACCGGTTCCGTTTCCACTTCCATTTAACTTCTTTCAATTGGTGCCCTTGTGTGAATTATAATTTTGCCTTACCCTTGGATACTATCGTAACACGCTCGCTAGCGCGGTTCCTTCCTCCCAAACGACCAAGCTTCTTCTGCTGAGCTTCTTTTCAAAGCATCCCATTTCAGTTTCAGTTTTTACAACCATTAACCATGCACTTTCATGCGCCGGTTTTGGTTGCCCGTTTGGATAAAAGAGCGAAATGAAGATTGGAATGTCGAAGCAAATTCAAGCGGAAGATGGGGAATTCATATAGAGTGGTGTTAGGAAAATAACTAGTGGATGCACGAGCGCCACTGTTTGCGACACC